GCTCTTCCGATCTCCGTTATATATATATATATATATGATAAAATAAACTACTACTTTCTACTTCTCAGTATTTCACTTATAGCGGGGCTTCTGTGTACAGATCCCCCACGATAAACGAGGGATTACTGTACAAACATGAAGACTAGAGAGAGTAAAGAGCAGCAGAGTGAGGAGATGTGGTCTTTACTCTTTCTCTTTTTGGGTTTGTCACTCTGTCTCTAACGAATTCATCATATTTTGTTCTTAAATAAACTGAGTTAAATTAATAAGCTGAATTTATAGTTTCAGAGTTAAAAGCAAGAGGTGTGATCCAGCAGACGTTTCCTCTTCATGAGCAGAGGATCCTCGGTCAGCTCATGAAGTCCTGGGTCCAGGCTGTCTGTGAGAAGCAGCCTTTAGGTTTGGATCTGAGTATTTGTATTTTTAATCTCTGTTTTTAGACAGCTACTATGGTCAAATACTAATGCTGCATTTCTCTTGATGGCATTTACAGACGATATCTGTGACTACTTCGGGGTGAAGATTGCCATGTATTTTGCGTGGCTGGGCTTCTACACCACTTCTATGTTATACCCTGCTGTGATCGGCTTTGTGCTCTGGATGCTCACCGAGTCAGATCAGGTGAGGAGAGTTCCTTTTCAAACCAAAACAAATGTCTCTTCACTGAATGACAAACTCCTTCCTGTTTGTGTCTGGGGCATTTTAGACGAGCCGTGACATCTGCTGTGTCGTGTTTGCACTGTTCAACGTGGTGTGGGCCACTCTTTTCCTTGAGCGCTGGAAGAGGAGGGGAGCCGAGCTGGCATATAAGTGGGGGACGCTGGACGCGCCTGCGGAGTCCCTGGAGGAGCCACGGCCTCAGTTTCGGGTGAGAACAGCTGAAACTCTAATTTCTCTGGATTTTCTACCCACCTCTTTTCTCTTTCACGTAGCTTTGTGCTTTCCATCTGCAGGGAATCAAGCGCTGCAGTCCAATCACAGGACGAGAGGAGTTCTACTATCCTCCATGGAGAAGGCGCATATTTAGGTGGCTGGTCAGCCTGCCCATCTGCATCCTGTGTCTCTGCTTTGTCTTCCTGGTCATGCTCATCTGCTTTGAGCTGCAGGTCAGACACCTGTCATCCTAAACTGTTTTGGTATCTTCTGGCTTTTTGAATTTGTAATGATCTCAAGTTCTGCAATTGTATAACTTTTCGTATATAAGGAGATGCAACAATCCTTTTGAACATCTGTAATATTTCATAGGTTTGTGAGGAAACCACATATAATAAAACCAGAGATTCAAAATAAATGAATTCTTATTCGTGGAGTCAACAGATTGAAAAAGCAACTTTTGCTTTGCAGGAGTTTGTGATGGGGATCAAGGAGATGCCTCGGCTGGCTCGCTTCATCCCCAAAATCATGCTCGCTATCACTGTGACTGCATGTGACGAGGTGTACAGGAAGATCGCCTGCTGGCTCAATGACATGGGTGAGAGTGGAGCCACCATCCTACAGTCAGAGCAGAAAATCTTTTATTGAAAAGTTCATATAGTTCATATTTTGCAATGTATTGTCGTTCTAATATTGACGTTGATTTTATGTTTCCATAGAAAACTACAGACTCCAGAGTGCCTATGAGAAAAATCTCATCATCAAAATGGTTCTTGTGAGTGGATTTTTGCAATTTAGATCAATCTATATCTATATCGATAGATAGATAGATAGATAGATAGATAGACAGTAGTCCCTCGCTACTTCACAGTTAATTTTTCACAGACTCACTCTATCGCGGTTTTTCAAAGTAAGATTGGGCATGACACACAATGGCTGATTGATGGATGAGCCGCACGATCGGCATGGATTTTTTTCTTTAAAATAAATTATTTTAAATGACTTAGCACCTGTGTGCAGCCCACAGCTGTGGGAGAAGCTTCCTCCTGCAGCTGATCAGCTGATCTCCACTGTGCAGGAGATCAGCTGGTGTAGAACGGAGAAATGTGCGTGGACAAGAGTGCAGCCAGAACCTGAACTCATGACATTCTGTGCTCTTTTAGAGCATTTAGAGCAGGGCTTTTCAACAAAATTGCTCGGGGGGAGGGGGGGCACAGTTCCTGAAAGCCAACAGCTCAGGGGCTGAACATCCAGCGATTAAGATCATTATGTAAATAAACCAAAGTTTAAATTTGTTAATTTTATTGCACTGAATTATAAATGCAATAAACATAACTCAAAACCCAGACCCCCCCCCCCCCCCCCCCCCCCCCAAAAAAAAGAGATTTTTTTTTTAATGAAGTGGGCCAGATTTAAGTCACCTGTGGGCCGGAAATGGCTCGCTGGCCGCCAGTTGAATAGCCCTGGTTTAGAAGCATCTTTTAGAATATTGCAAGAGTATGGGAAGGGTTTAAAACTCCTT